TTCAAAGGGGCAGAGGAACTAGGGACCAAATTGCTAACATGCACTGGATTATGGAGAAAGCCAGAGAGCTCCAGAAAAACATCTACTTCTGCTTCATTGTCTATGCAAAAGCCTTTGACTGTGTCAATCACAACAAACTATCACAAGTTCTTAAAGAAATGGGAGTGCCTGACCACCTTATCTATCTCCTGAGAAATCTATATCTAGGACAGGAAGCAACAGTTAGAACTGAATATGGAACAACTGATTGGTTCAAAATTGGGAAAGGAGTACGACAAGGCTGTATAATGTCCCCTGTTTATTTAACTTATATGCAGAATACATCATGCGAAAGACTGGACTGGATGAATCCCAAGCCGGAATTAAGACTGCCAGAAGTAATATCAACAACCTCAGATATGTAGATGATACCACTCTGATGGCAGAAAGTGAAGAGGAATTAAAGAACCTCTTAATGAGGGTGAAAGAGGAGAGTGCAAAAAACGGTCTGAAACTCAACATCAAAAACTAAGATCATGGCCACTGGTCCCATCACCTCCTGGCAAATAGAAGGGGAAGACATGGAGGCAGTGACAGATTTTACTTTCTTGGGCTCCATGATCACTGCAGATGGTGACAGCAGCCACAAAATTAAAAGACACTTGCTTCTTGGGAGGAAAAAAACAGAGAATCACCTTGCCGAAAAAAGTCTGCATAGTCAAATCTATGGTTTTCCAGTAGTGATGTATGGAAGTGAGAGCTGAACCATAAAGAAGGTTGACTGCCGAAGAATTGATGCTTTTGAATTGTGGTGCTGGAGGAGACTCTTGAGAATCCCCTGGACTGCAAGGAGAACAAACCTGTCCATTTTGAAGGAAATCAACCCTGAGTGCTCATTGGAAGGGCAGATCCTGAAGCTGAGGCTCCAATACTTTGGCCGTTTTGAGAAGACTCCCTGGAAAAGACCCTGATGTTGGGAAAGTGTGAAAGCAAGAGGAGAAAGAGATGTCAGAAGACGAGATGGTTGGACAGTGTCATCAAATCTACCAAGATGAATTTGACCCATGGTGGAAGAGAGGCAGTGGAAGACACGAGGGCCTGGCATGCTCTGGTCTCTGGGTTCATGAAGAGTCGGACACGACTTAATGACTAAACAATAACAAAATGTCATCTAAGTTAGTAACCAGAAACCCATCTTCTGAAAGTATATTCTTTACATTTATCATGTTTTATGAAGTACAGCTTCATTTTGTCTAAACTGAATTAATTGCCAATCCATTTTTTTACAGTAATACAGATCCAAAAATTGGGAGACTGAGGAAAAATGTCTTTTTCTCAGAGTTCGTTGTTGTTATTGGTTTGGCAACATTTTATGATTTAAATACATTTTTTTTTCATTTGCACCTTTAAGGGCTTGAATTAATCCAGCACAAATTTTTATAGTACTCTGGCCATCACTGGGTTGGATTGAGAACCAGTGGAAGCCTAAAACATCTTGCATAGTGGTAAAGAAAAGAGGACCGAGTTGAGTATGTGCTCTATTCTTAAGGCTTATTGTGTCTCCAGATTAGAGCATCCTGATTCTAGTCCCATATAAACCATGAAAGGTGTAGTCATCATCCAGTCTTTGCTTGTAAGAAAGGAATCCAGAGAGTGTTCTGTGTGGTAAGATGTAATGTTTTGGAGATGAATGTAACTTACTTGTTTTCCTCTCTTAGGCCCGAGCTGGAATTATTAGCACTGTAGAGGTTCTAAAAGTCATGGAAGCATTTGTGAATGAGCCCAACTATACCGTGTGGAGCGACCTGAGCTGTAACCTGGGGATTCTCTCAACTCTCTTGTCCCACACAGACTTCTATGAGGAGATCCAGGCGTTCGTCCGTGATATCTTTTCACCCATAGGAGAAAAGCTGGGTTGGGACCCTAAGCCTGGCGAGGGTATGAAGATTAAATCATCTTTCAATTTTTAAGTGCTGAATTTCTACCATGCCACATTTGCTCTGGAATAATAGATAGCCTCCTCTGCATTCCAATACTTGAGAGGCTTACATAAATGAATGCTCCATTAGCATAGACCTAATTATGCTGCTTTTTATTCAATAATTAACATCAAAAAGTATGTGTTTACAAAGAGCACATTACCTTGGTTGCTTTGCTTGTCAATTTCTGTTGTAAAACCCATGTACTTAAATTTAAGAAATGGAAGAGCAGTGATTCACAGGCAGCTACCAAGTCTGTGGTTAAGCTGAGGTCAGAGCCTAGACCTACACTATTCTACATGTCTCTAACATTCTTCAAATGATTTAATTTTGTACAACTTTCTAATATTTACTGCTGTAACAAAAAGTAACTTACAGTATTTGATGACAGAATATGAGAGATATGTAGAATACTGTTGGTCTGGGATCAAAGTGCAGTTTAACCATGGATTTGCTAGTTGCTTGTCAGTCACTGCCCCTTCATTTCTTAAAACATACATATCTGGGTTTTTATAACAGAAATTAAAGTGACAATCATCAAATATTCATATGGAGGCCAAAATCCTGTTTAGTGTAGTAAATCAGACTAAAGTAGACCCGTTGAATTGATGAGGATTTGTTGAGTCAGCTGTTCCATAAATTCAAATAAACCTAATCTAACTGCAATTTACTTTAATATAGTAAGTTGCAATTAGAGTAGGCCCATTTGAATCAATGGAATTTACAGAGGAGATTATTCATTAAATCCCTATTGATTTAGTGGGCCTAATCTAGTATGATTTAATACTCTAAAACAGCAGGATATTGGAGTTTGATTCCCCACTATGCCTTGAGAGGGGCTGGACTTGATGATCCATAGAGACCTTAGATCACAGTTCTAGGGTTATTAATATACTTCACTGGTGATCTACATTCTCTCTCATCCCTTGTGTTGGCAATTAATAGATTTCACATGGACAACAAGGAGAATACTTGAGCTCTGTTCAGAGCTGGTGCCTAAAGTCTTCCTGCTCTTTTTTAATAATTTGAAATACTGTAATTGTATCAGAATTGCTGCACAAAATTAATAATGGAAGAAATCAAGATGTGGAAGCTGACTTGTGGGAGTTTAGGAGGAGCGGAGCCAGCAAGCATTTTGCAGACTACATCATGGTCTCATGGCTTGTGTTGAGCAGATGCAGGAAGCCTTTGTCTCTCTAGATGTTTTGGTTTGCCCATCCCACCAAGCATATTCCTAGACAAAGGACTTTGGGAGTTTTAATGTAAATACCTGAAAGATTACAGGTTCCTAGCCCTGCTCTAGGGTGTATATTAATAAGCTTACATCCTTTTCAGTTCAGTTTCCATTATCTCACAAATTCAGATAAATAAAAAATGTTAATTCTTTAAAAAAAACAACAACTGACTTTATCTCTTTTTTTTTCTTTTGCATCAGGCCATCTGGATGCACTTCTGAGGGGTTTAGTTTTGGGCAAGCTAGGAAAAGCCGGTCATAAGGCAACACTGGAAGAAGCTCGGCGTCGGTTTAAAGACCATGTGGAAGGGAAGCATATCCTGTCTGCTGATTTGAGAAGTCCTGTAGGTTGCTTTAAAACACTTTTTTCTCCTTAATGAGCTGAATTTTCTCCAAATACTTACTTGTGTACTTGTGTGCTGAGTTAAACATGCAACATACCCACTTCCTGTTTTTGTGTTGGTAGAACAGTAAGTTTCTTTGAGCATTTTTCAACCATCTTCTCAACTCAGATTGGTAAATCCCTCCCTTGAAATTTTAAATGGTTGAAGCAGAAGATAATCCTAATATCTATGGGAGAGGCTCACATACTTATAAATATTTTTTAAATACCTTGGCTGCCTTTGGTGAGATGGCAGGGTAAAAGGGGGATAAAATCTAAAGGTGACTGGTCGCTGATTAATGTGTGATTAATGTGACTTAAAAATTTTTTAAATGTTGAAACGTGTCATTCTTTTTCCAGGTGTATGTTACTGTTTTAAAGCATGGTGACAGTACAACCTTAGATACAATGCTAAAGGTGAGTGTGCTATTAGTGTGCTAATAGTATTACTGTGCAGTAAAAAAACCTGCAGAGAAAATACTACATCTCTAAATGAACATGCTGACCCTGGGTGGGTGATGCATTAATGAAGACGAGGGCCACATGTGACCTCCATATTTGTAATTTTGATTATATGTATTTTTCTTTACTGTGTCTAATGTGAGCAACAGCAGTAGCCTTTAGGGTGATTTGTTTAAGTGGGAGACATTATAACACATACTTAAACATCTTCTGTAGAAATGAATTTGATTATAAAACACCAGTGTTTGTTTATATATAAATCATTTTAAAAGTGCATAAATTATGTATTTTAAAATTTAGTACAGAATGTATGTTATTTATATGCCTCCTTTCCCCAACTCATAAGAATTAAAGCTGTGTAGTAGTAACAACTTTGCAATACTATACAAAAATTATATATAAACATTATATATAATGTTAAACATTACTCAAGATTAAAAACAAGACTAAACACAATTTAAAAAACACATTTAAAATACAGTGGCACCTCGAATTACGAACTTTTGGAATGACGTTCACATGTTGAAAAGTTCGAAAGTCGAAGTACCATTTCCCATTGAACTGCATGGAAATAGAATTAATCCATTCCAGCATTTCAAAAGGCAAAAAGGCAGGGGGAAAGGGCTNTTTTCTCGCCTTTTTGGCTTCAGAGCTCTCAAAGAGCTTGTTCCAATGTCGGGGGAAAACGCCCTTTGAAAGCTTCTGGGAGACC